TAATCATATCTTATCCTAATCCTATGTGAACCATGTTTAACTTAACAATTTAAAAAAACTAATATTAATAAAATATATAAAACATAAAAATGATATTAGTTTGTTAAGATAAAGAAATTACAAATAGATAATATATTATAATACATGAAGTATTGCAAAAAAACCATAAAAAGTTTTAAAATTATAGAAAAACCCCTGAAAAGTTCAAAATTATAAAACTCATCCAAATGTCTCAAAACTTAAAATAAAAAACATGAAATTAATAAATTAACATCAGTTTGCAAAGAATTTAAAATTTACAGTTAACACCTCAATGTCTCAAAAATTATAGAAACACCTTCAAAAGTTTAAATTACAGATAAGCACATTAAAATTCTAAAATTTTAAAACTTACAAATAACACAGATGAATTCAAGAGATTATCATGATACACCTAAAATTTTTGACATTTAAATTTAAAAGTTTTAATTAACACCCTCAATATCTAAAAAATTATAGAAACACCTTCAAAAGTTCAAATTATAAAAAGCCACCCTAAAATTCTAAAATTTGTAAATAAAATAAGATGAATTCAAGATATTACCCTTAGACACCTAAAAATTAAAATTTGCCAAAATTAACCTCAAATATTTTTAAAAAACTCCTTCAAAATTTAAAAATCGTAAAAAAAACTCTAAATTTTCAAAATTTTTAACTAGCACACATCAAATTCGTCGATTGGTAGACCGCTGAAATTTAATATTTTTAAAAATTAATCTATAGTTTTAATAATTACAAAAGACACCCTCAAAATTTTAGAGTTACAAGAAATATACTAACATTTAAAAAATTACCACCAACACATGAAACATAGAATTTACAACTACCAAACTTAAAAGTAAATTTTTTTAAAAAATCTTTCAAAATTTTAAAAATTACAAATCACACCCTCAAAGTTCAAAACCACAAAAATGGGCTAAAATTTTAAAACTTGGCAAAGAAAAGTGTAATTGTTTGGTATTTTTCATATATATATATATTAAAATTTCTAATTTAGGGATTTACTATCCATTTTCAGCATCTAAGAATAGTCTAAGTTGATACTGGTAAACAAAAACAATAAGAATTGATTAAAAACATCCGGTTAATGGATAAAATTTTTAAAAATATTATAGATTAAAAATTATCGGCACCATATAAATTAAAGTAATTTCATATAATTTTAGTAATAAGTTGGGGTAGCCAAAATACATTCGTAACATTAATTGATAGATGTTTAAATCCATAGAAATGATAAAACACTATAATATTATACCTTAGCATTAATTGATTTTAATTTAGAAACTTTAATCTTTGACGTTAATAATATTTATAGGGTAAAAGAATACAAGGAATTACATATGGAGAAACTATTAGAATATTTAGAGATAACTTTAAAAGATATATATATATATATATATATATATTAAAATTTCTAATTTAGGGATTTACTATCCATTTTCAGCATCTAAGAATAGTCTAAGTTGATACTGGTAAACAAAAACAATAAGAATTGATTAAAAACATCCGGTTAATGGATAAAATTTTTAAAAATATTATAGATTAAAAATTATCGGCACTATATAAATTAAAGTAATTTCATATAATTTTAGTAATAAGTTGGGGTAGCCAAAATACATTCGTAACATTAATTGATAGATGTTTAAATCCATAGAAATGATAAAACACTATAATATTATACCTTAGCATTAATTGATTTTAATTTAGAAACTTTAATCTTTGACGTTAATAATATTTATAGGGTAAAAGAATACAAGGAATTACATATGGAGAAACTATTAGAATATTTAGAGATAACTTTAAAAGAATTGAGTTATTTCCATTGCAAATGGGAAAGTGATGGAAATAAATCTAAAATTCAGAAAACGTCAATGAATCACTTGAATTGGCATTAACATAAGACATATCTATTAATGAAGCACTGAATGAGTTACATTAAAAAATAATTTAATAACTTTATCCTAATCAAAGAAAAAATCTCCATGGAAGACATAAGAAAAATTAGTAAGTATTCATAAATTTCATACTGTGTTCTTCAAATTAAATATTAATATTATAATCTAAGAAAAATTGGTAATGAATAATGCAGGTATTTAGTTTAGATCTTTATAGAAAATAACAGGGATAGAGAAAAGGTAATATTATTGAAATAACAGAAATTCTTATTGGATGCATATCAGAAGAATTCATTTTAGAGGAAAATAAAGAGAGAGCTTCTAATTTATTTAAGTAATAAATTAGGAACACAAAGAATTATATATATATGAAATTAATATTTATTCTCATTGAAATAGAAAAAAAATCAAAGTCTATATTTTGAGCAGTTTGTGTTGAACATCATAAGTACATTTGACTTCTTTGTAAAGTTAAATGAGATGATAAAAAATTAACGAGCCTAGGAAAGATAATAGCATAAAAAATACAAAATTAGCCTGATGTCACAATTGATGTAGATGATGAAGACAATACTCTAGAATTGTCCGAGAAATGATAAATGATAAACCTGAAGAAGGATTGATCTTAACTCGATAAAAAATAAAATAGAAGAAATAAAAATAATATTTTATGAATATTTTATAGAATAGTTTAATTATTTTGAGTGAAATTAGGAATCTTTAGAAGGGAGTTTCATGAATTTTTTTCAGTACTTTTATATTCTTATGTGGATGTTTTTATCATATAAAAGTATACTAGAGTTAGCATTAATCTTTAATTTATATTTTTTATGAAGTCTATCAATGATTAGGAATAAACTTCATATTCTCTTTTGCATCGTTTTAACATACTTTAAATCAATCATTTTGCCATATTGGTTTTAAACATTCACCTTCCTTGTATAACACTATTTTAATATTTTTCACTTTGCAATGCTATACTTTCTCAAATAAAGCTTAGTTTCATATCTGTCAAAAATAATATGAATATTCAAATTATTTTTAAATTATATTTGTTTTTTGTCAATTCAAATATCAACATGAAAATTTAAATTGGGTGTATCCCATTTAAACAAACATAAAAAAATAATCGGGATGTAAGAGTTTAAAGAAAAAAATGAGCACAAACTGCCAAAAATACTTAATCATGGTATTAAATCACGTGCATTGCACGTGTGTAAAAACTAGTATGTTTCAAATGAGTTGGTTTTTGAAAATAAATTTCTAAATGGGTCTATTTGAAAATTCGTCTTTATTTGAAGCAAGAGTACAACTAACACTTCTGCAATCATGCCACCTGACCAAGACGCAAGTCATAGAAGTATACTGTGTCGATGTACTAGCTAGCGATGTCTTTAGTGCGAGCAAATTAAATAAAAAAGAACAGCTGCATATTTCATTTAAATAAAATTGAAAATTGATACCTCAGTTATTCGTTATACTTGTAAAAAAACGTATGAAGTCATGCACAAGATCATGATTAAAACATGAACTAATTACAAATGCAATTACAGTTCCCACGGGATTTACTCGCTTATGAACATTTGATCCTATTTGGAGGTGGGTGGGTTGGGGGGGGGGGGGGGGGGGGGGTCATGAGTAGTCAGAGTCTTGATCTTTTGATTTCTTTTGTGTATAAGTACAAGTGCACTTTGTTAATAAGTAATTCATATCAGGGGTGTGCAAACGATTGGTTCAGCTCGTTTTGATCATAAATATGGCCAAGTTATAGAATTTTAGCTAAAATCTTACATTCTTACTCCTTCAAATCTCTCATTCATCTTTGTATCCCAAGCTGAAGAGCAAATTTATCAAATCAACTACTTCACAAACTAAAATCGAATTTTTTATTAATTAAAATATATAAAAATATTAGTAAAATTATTTTTTCACCTGTGAAATTTTTTAAATAACTATGTCTCGATCGGTCGGTTAATCATTTTGGTTTTAAATATTTCAAAATCAAACCAAACCAAAGTATTTTCTAAAGCTAAACCGAACTGTCAAACTTTTGCCGGTTTGATGATTTATTCGGTTTGCACCGATTAGAGCTGACCTCTAATTCATACAAAACCCACTGAATTTACATAATACTGTAACTATACTAGTGAAGAAGAGCCGACCGCGCATGTGACGTAGGAATTCTATTCCTTCAAAGTCCAAAACATTATTAATTATCAGAACCTGAATATGGTACCCTTTTTAATTCCCTTTGAAATACTGCACCCTTAATTTATATGTTTTTTTCATAAATTCCCCTCACACAGTCAATATTTTGAATAAGTCCCTCGTATATTTGAAATTGCTAATAGATTCTCGAATTCCAACATCCGTTGCATTGCCCATGTTGATCTTTGATTGGTGGACTAATTTGTAATAGTCTATTGAACTTGGGGGATCTAATAGCAATTTGAATAACCCGATGTACTAAGGGCTTGTTTGGATTGAGGTGAATGAGGGTGAAGGGAAGTTAGGGGAACCATTCACCTCCATTCACCTTATTTGGAAACACTTAGGAGGTGAAGTTAATTCATCTCCATTCACCTTGGTTCACCCCTAATAGTATAAGGGTCTGTTTGGATTCGTAGGGGGTGAAGGGAAGTTAAGGGAAACTGAGTGAAGGGAAGGGAAGGGAAGAGAAAGGAATTCCCTTCCCCTTGGTTACACCCCAATTTGGGGGTAACAATTTTTATACTATTAGAGGGTGAACCAAGGTGAATGGAGGTGAATTAACTTTACATCCTAAGTGTTCACAAACAAGAAGAATGAAGGTGAATGATTCCCCTAACTTCCCTTCACCCTCATTCCCCTCAATCCAAACAAGCCCTAAAAATTGTTACCCCCCAAATTGGGGTGTAACCAAGAGGAAGAGAATTCCCTTCCCTTCCCTTCCCTTCCCTTCCAATCCATCACCAAACAGGCGCTAAGTAAAAATTGTTAAAAATCGAATGGGCTGTTACGGAAGAAAACGGCCAAGTTATGTTAACCCAATTAATTAATAAACCCGCCCCAAACAGCAAATCAATCCACGAGATTTCAAAATGGACCGCGATCTCGGACTCAGGAGCTCGGTCTCATTCAAAAGTTCCCCCTTTTCTTTTGAATTTTACCGCAAGAATCGTTGGATCTGATAACGATGGCCACTCCAAAGTCACGCGAGTTGTTTGTTTCTTCTCTCCTTCCTCATAGTCACATGCTTTATCTCTTCTCACTCTGTCGCTTTACTAATCTCCAACCCTAACCCTAACGCCGAACGAATCCCGAGGATCTGTTTCTTGATTCTAACTATGTAATTGGGATCTGTGCGGTTTCTTAATTAGGAATCAACCCTCAATTCCATTTGATAGGGACCAATTTTTCTGGATTTGGATCGCCATGGAAGGAGGCAGTGAAATGGAACCCAACCCCTTTTTGAGGTGAGTTTTTTTTTTCCCGTCGATCGATTGCTTGAATTGAATTTGGTTGTACTTTTCTCCTAAATTCTGAGTTGTTACTGACTTCATCTGTCCTTGAATAGTGAAGTTTGGTTTTGAGATTGTTTTTCTTGACAACTGAAGAAGTTAGCATAAAATAGTAAGATACAAGACAGAATTTTGAAGATTTTTAATGTTTTAGGATTTTGATTAAGTTTTTTTTTTAAAGTTTTGAACTGTGTTTTGTTTTCTTCTTCTGCTCTTATATCTCTCTTGCATGTTGGTTTCTATTAACACACCAGCTGAATTGTAGTGGAATTGATAGGAACTGACGTGTTAAAGAAATTATGCCACTGGGTTGTTTCAAGTTTAAGGGTGTATATCGACTGCTACACTTTTGGGAATTCACTCTTTCTCGCTAGCTTAGTTGAGCTGTAGCGTATTTAGTTTCATGCATTGGGGTATATTTTCCGGGTGAAACAGTTTGTTTCAATGCTTGGCTGGTTATTTCATATGGATCCCCAGCCACTTTTTCGATAGTAACCGTTTCATTGATTTGATATATCCAGAAAGTAGACGCTCACGGATTTATTAGCTTGAGATGGCTGAAACTTTTCCGTTGACAGATCTTTAGCACTAGTTCATTTCATGCTTGAGTTTTGCCACAAATTATTCAGATTTATTATCAATGTTTCAGTTGTCAGTAGTATATTTCGTCGTCTTCGTAGATCATAATCAGATGCATTTTTGTCCTTATCATCTCGGAAGACGTGAGAATCTCTTTGTTAGGAACTTAGAGGAGTTGGCTTGGTTGTAGGAATGTAAAATCCATTATTGTCTCTTCTGTGTTGTAAGTACTTGGGTCTAATCTTCCTTTGTTCTGATTGGACTTAAATCTCGGTTGCAACTATAAAATGACAAAACCATGTTGTGGCCTAGAGATCACCTTTGAAGAGTTAGTACAAGAGATATATGAAGTCCTATTGTTATCGTTACCCGTTATACTTATATATTCCTTCCGAAACCTTTAAGCCAGGAAATAAAGAACTGATCATTTATCAAATTGCAGTTTGTTTGCGGCTGTCTCTTATGGAGTTGCATCTATGGCCATGGTTTTCATTAATAAGGCAGTTCTCATGGAGTATGCTTACTCCATTACTCTTCTCACATTACAGGTACTACTAGTCATTTGAGGCATTGGGTTGTAAACTGCTTCAATTTTGATGCTACTTTTGGAATATATTCTCTTTATCTCCATTCTTTTCAGCAATTGGCGACAACTCTTCTCATACACTTTGGTCGAGTCATGGGTTACACAAAATTCAAAGATGTAAACATGGCAACTGCAAAGAAACTTCTCCCAGTTTCCGTCTTCTACAATGCAAATGTAGCATTTGCATTGGCAAGCTTGAAGGGAGTGAACATTCCAATGTACATTGCATTGAAGAGACTTACGCCACTTGCTGTCTTGTTGGCAGGATTCTTTTATGGAAAAGGGAAGCCACCGTTGCAGGTAAGCAGTAACTCTCTAGTGTTTTTATAAATAAGGGATTTAGGATGAAGTGTCATTGTGTATGTTATTTGCTGATGATATAGTATTAGTTGACGATGCTAGAATATGTACAATTTTTAAAGTAGAAAGGTGGAGGCAAGTTCTTGAAACTAAAGATTTTAAAATTAGTAGAACAAAAATAAAATACATGGAATACGTTTTAAGTAAAACTAAAATAAGAAAAGAGCCTATAGTACATATTGATGGTCAAGGAATATCTAAAAGTAATCAATTTTGTTATTTAGGATCAATCACTCGGCATGATGATGAGATTGAGGATGATATTGTCTATTGAATCAAATCGGGATGGTTAAAATGGAGGAGTGCTTCAGGAGTCTTGTGTGATCGTAGAATACCCATGAGTCTTAAAGAAATTTTTTATAGGACAGTTACAAGACCATCAATGCTTTATTGTTCGGAATGTTGGGCAATTAAATAACACATGTGCAAAAAATGAGTGTGGCAGAAATGAGAATGTTGAGATGGTCTAGTAGGTATACATTAAAAGATAGGATAATAAATGAGTGCATCCGTAGTAAATTAGAGGTTGCTCCTATTGAGGATAAAATGAGAGAAAATCGATTAATGTGCTATGGTCATGTACAGCATAGACCTCTTATTAGTACACCGGTTAGGAAAATTGATGATATTATAGTTAATGGTGCAAAGAGATTTAGAGGTAGACCTAAAAGAACTTGGTTGGAAGCAATAAAAAAAGATATGATTATGCTTAGCTTATAGAGGAGATGACCCATAATAGAGCGGAATGGAAGAATATGATTCATGTAGCCGACCCCAAACATTTGGGATAGATGCTTTGTTGTTGTTGTTGTTGTAGACATGATGTTTACGTAATATAAGTATTTAGCCCCAATATGGTGTTTGCATTTGGTCTGATCATTTACCTGCTTGCATCCTCAAAGATGCCATTATTTTTGCATGTGATGCAATTAAGTGTTGTTTCAGAAGTTGAGCCAAGTGATCTGGTGAAAATGCTAAAATAAGTTGGTTGATATGCATGTTCAATGGTCATCTTATTGCATTTAATTATGACAGTTATGTTTGTTCACAAGTTCTGTTAATTATAAATAACAGCCTTTGTTATTCTTTCATGTTAATCATGAATCTCATTGTAACTTTTGCAGATGTTTTTTCTGTAACTACATTTTTACATGTTTGCAACTTTAAGCACCCAATAATTAGGACTGGAAGTTCACGCGATTATACATTTTCCATGGACTTGTTGCATAAAAACACCTTTGAGCAGGACATCTGACGGTGCAGATGTGCAATTTATGTTTGTCCTAGACATTGACGTTTTCATGACATCTTTATTTCTGTAGGTCCTCTTGTTTTATTACCTTTGATATTTTCTTTCTCGTAGTTTCCTGTATACTTCTGATTTGTGAAATCTCCCTGCTTGTGAAGACTCTCAGTTATGATCACTATTTATGATGTCCAATTTTGAAAGCGTCAGATATTTCCTGTCGCCATGAAATACTTGTGGAGAATCAACACTTATCTGCCAGCTTCTTTTAGTAATGCACCAAAGTCAACTCTCGGCAAGCAGACTTTCTTGCTACTATGAGTAGAGTTAGTACATGTCATGTCAATTCAGCTGATACAACCTGGAGTCTGAAAGTCAAATTTAGAAGATATCTTTATTTTCTGACAGCGGAAATGTGCAATTTATGTTTGCCCGAGACATTGACATTTTCATGACATCCTTATTTTCTCTAGGTCCTCTTGTTTTATTACCTTTATATTTTCTTTCTCGTAGTTTCCTGTATACTTTTGATTTGCGAAATATCCCTGCTCGTGAAGACTTTCACTTATGGTACATTGGTACTATTACAATGTCTATCTTCAAAGTTTCAGATATTTCCAGGGGAGGATCTACATACAGTCCAGGGGGGGCCACGGCCCCCCTAAAATTTTGAGGAAAAAATTAGGGTGCTCTATTCCTCAAGCCCCCTCAAAATTTTGGGGGGAAAAATTAGGGTGCTCTATTCCTAATTTGGGAAAAAAAATTAGTTTGTGAATATTAATTATTTGAGGGTTTTTATGCATATATTAATAGTAAATATATTACCATGAGTAGCAACAAGATTAATAAAGGGGGTTTCATTGAAATTGGAAATTTATGGAGAGGTATTTAGCGAATGGGCAGAATGAGCTCGTGGTATTGGAAATTTATGGAGAGGTATTTAGCGAATGGGCAGAATGAGCTCGTGGTCATCAAGACATCACCATTAGGCATCATTATCGATTAGACTTTCTTTATGTCGCGATCGATTCACAAATGCAAGAAATTAATATGCGTTTTAGTGAAGATGCGACAGAATTGCAACTGATATATGCAAATTGGTTGGCAAGTTTTATGCACAAGATTTTACAAGTGAAGAAAAAGAGAGTTTGAAGATGCAACTGAAACATTATGAGCATAATGTAGTCAAAGGGTCAGACTTCAAAACTCTTTCAACCATTTCTGAGTTGGGTCAATGGTTGGTAAAGACTAATAAATCTGCTATATACGACCTCATTTCTAGAGTGATCGTACTTGTGCTTACTCTTCCAGTTTCTACCGCTACTGCAGAACGATCATTCTCAGCTATGAATATCGTCAAAACTAGGCTTCGAAGCAAAATGGATGATGCTTTCCTCTCCGACGCATTAATGGTGTTTATTGAAAGAGAAATTGCTAAAAGTCTGAGCATTGATGCTATCATTGAAGGCTTTGAAAATTTTAAGGAACGTCGAATTTCCCGTTGCCATGAAACACTTGCAGAGAATCAACACATTTGCCTGCTTCTTTTAGTAATGCACCAAAGTCAACTCTGGGCAGGCAGACTTTCAAGCTACTACAAGTAGAGTTAGTGCATGTCATGTCAATTCAGCTGATTTAACTTAAAGAGTCTTAGACAAAGTCAAATTTAGAAGATATCATGATGCTAAACTAAGAGTTTCTTAAGGACCATTATTTGAAATTTTCTGTCAAGCGCCACTTTGTTTGAGTGGGTTTGTTTCTAGCACTATTGGTTGTGGGTGCCCCAAAATGAGCTTTCACAAATTAGGATGGTAATAGAGACATGGATGGTGCGTCCAGTCGTCCGATATTTTCTTCAGCTATCTCCATGTATTGCACACCTTCATTTAATCATCATTAAAATTCTGCGGATTTGATGACTGGAGACTGTTATTTTTCCTTTTCTTTACAGAATTCAACAGATGTCATCAAACAGAGAGTGGTCCTGTTGGTTGTCTTGTCCCTCACTGTGATCTATATTCTGTAGTTCTAATCAGACTGAAGACTGTCCGCAAGTGATTTATTGAATCATGAGTGAAGCTAAAGGGTTAAACTCAATATTTCAAGGAGTATCAAATTTTTTATTTTCTTGGTCTGTTAAGATGTGAGAATATATTGAAATATTGTTGTGATGGATAGGTTCAAAAAGATAAAAATAAAAATAAGAAAATTACAGAAAGAATATATGACAATTAGGCATCTTCTGCTAGAATCAGGAAGGATTCTCATATTTTACTAATGTATTTTTGTGGATGTCTTGTGTTGGAAACTATCATCAGAAGCATGGATATGGACACGGGTATGCTACAAGGAAACACACCTTTTCAAATTTTATAATAAATTAATAATCAAACATTTGATTTTATTTGTGGGCTAAAATATTGTTGTTTGTGATCAATGTGACAACGTTTTGTTACATTTTTTGGCAGGTATGATTTTCTATATTTGAATGGATTATGGATTTGTACATACTAAAGTCTTGCCTTCTTATCTTCATCTTGCCATAGCTTAAAGCCTCTTAATGTTACCATGCTACATATGCTAAATTTTTCGTAGTGCGTGTCCTATACTAAAAACATGTGATACATTATGTGGAAATGATTCTAGTACAGCATTAATGTGTGTTCATGCTTGCAAATTTGTAATTGGTCACACATGTAGAAGCCTTTATTCTAATCTTATTGCAACACCAGACTCTATAATATGATACACTTTATTTAAGAAATGAATTCATTCTAAGTGTTGTTAGTTTTTTTTAATTTATTTTCACCAGAGTGAATTTAGAAGGTTGAAGTTTCATTGTCACGAGTAAATAATAATGCCATATGCATGGCATGAGCTTTCCCCCATTTTACACATTGTATGCTTTGTGTTTGGATTTTATGATGTTATTTCTTACACACAGTGATTGCACGTCTACATTCAGGTAGCACTTTCAGTTTTACTTACTGCTATCGGTTGCATCATTGCGGCAATAGGGGACTTTTCTTTTGACCTCTTTGGGTACTCCATGGCCCTTACTTCTGTTTTCTTCCAGGTTATCCTCAGTGTTTTCAGTCTTTAAGTGAAATCTGACCTGCTGCTGTTTGTTTGCCTTTGTTGACAATCTGATCTGTTGTTGCAAATGTAGACGATGTATCTGGTGCTGGTCGAGAAATCAGGTGCAGAGGATGGACTCTCATCAGTGGAGTTAATGTTCTACAATAGTTTATTGTCACTTCCGTTTTTGTTCTTCGTCATTATAGCGAATGGAGAATTTCCTTATTCGCTATCTTTATTAGTTGCAAAGGTTGGTGCTAGTACCTCTCTTCTCCTGTGCATCTACTCTTGAAAAGTTCAACTAACCGGACTTGGCTTATATCTCCAGTTTCTAAATGCCACTCATTTTAGATTTTTATTTCATCAGTTAGTGTACTTTTAATAGGGTCATTAGTACACTTCTATTCGGCATATATTTTAGTTCGTAGATGTTTTTCAGTTCGTAGATGTTTTTCTTTTTTCTCGTTCTAGAGGAGAAAGGTAGTGGCAGGAAAGCCATATATTTTAGGATAAAGATCAACAAGTTTTCTTTTTGGCATTCAATTCCCTCTTCCTACTTCGAGCTTCTGCTTTTGCATCACCCTGGGGCTTAGCTTAGCGGTAAGGGTCAGGATCGGGTTATCGGGCTGGCGTCTGTTCCACTAAAAAAAACGTAAATGCTTTTGACAGGATAAAGCTTTATTCTTACTTGAGGCTTTGACTGCAAAATAATGTAGGGAGCAGAAGAAGTGGGTAGTGGTCGTTTACTTTTAAAAAAGTAAAATATGTTCGTGAACTCTTTCTGCAAGCATTTGCAAATTATATTATCTGCACAGTGCATTGAACTTTGCGTAGACATTCTTTGACAATCACAGACAAAAATACATTAATATTTGATGCAATTTTGGATGCTTTCTAGCTAATTATCTTTCTAAGATTATACTTAAATATCTATAATATTCAGTAGTATCTTGATGTCAAGAATGTTCTTTGGTTTATCATCTTATTGATATAGTATTATTCCCCTTTGTGACAGGCAAACTACTTATCATTCTGTGTCATTCTTATTCTTTCATTGGTGATGGGCATTGTTCTGAACTTCACGATGTTTTGGTGCACCATTGTCAATTCAGCTCTAACTACGACCATTGTTGGTGTCCTCAAAGGGGTTGGGTCCACTGTAAGTATGAGGATGTGTTATTTATTCGTCTACCCTAGGACTATAAAAGGCATAGGAAGTTGAAGTGGTGTGGTTTTACCAATTGGTTTACAAGTTCAACACAGGCATTCAAAGGGATAATCCAATATGTATCTAGGTTATTATTAGACATCTTCACAATATATTAACTTTGGTCTTTATTTATTTTGATATGTTGATCATAGTAAAGGACGTGCATATCTAATGGGATAATCATTAGACTTCATTTCCTAAGCACTGTTGTTTACTGTACAGTAAACACTATCCTCTTTTTTCCCCTTCGCTTTTCTTATCCATTCATTTATTCAAAGACTCCGCTAATCTTCTCATATTTTCCTTCAGACACTTGGATTTGTACTGTTAGGTGGCGTTCCATTACATGGTCTCAATGTCACTGGATTGGTTATCAACACGGCTGGTGGGATGTGGTATACATACGCTAAGTATATGCAGAAGAAGAAAACACCCAGGAAGGTAATATCAGATGAGGAAGCTCATCAAAAAAAGGAATATACACCAAATCAGTAGCTTCGCTTCTCTTCTTGATTTTTTTTCCATCAATTGTTAAAAGGTATAGCATGTTTTCCCTTTTGCAATCACTATGTGAAGTAAAAAAAATGAAGTTACATTTACAGAGACATGCTGATTCTTGATGTGGATAAAGGTTTTGAATTTTCCGGCTGCAAATAATAGGGGATGGATAGTTAACCAAACACCTTCATTTTGCACCTTCATTTTGCTTAAACAAATTAACCACCAAAAGTCATTTATAAGTTGTTAAAATGGTGGGAATGAGTTGTTCATTTCTTTGCGATACAGAAGTTTTTTTGGCAAACAATTTGTATGGAATTGCTTGTAAATTTTTCATCATTAATAAACAGCTCAAGGTTTCCAGGCATAAATTTTGTAACATAATTTAAAGTTACATTTTTCTTTATGTATACTATTGTTTATTTTCCCCCCTCTTTGTTCTTGTGCATTTCTTTTCCTGCTTGTGGTTTGAGATTAGGGCCTGTTTGTTTCCTTCATTTTCCAAAAACGATTTTCCTTCACTTTTTTGTGTTTCCTTCACTTTCATGGAAAGTGTTTCTTGTGTTTGTTTTGCCAAAAAATATGGGTTGAAAGTACTTTCCACCACTTTTCTTAGTTTGGTTCAACTTGAAAAAAGAAGAAAACAATTGATGTATGAATATATTTCCTCATTTTCTAGTCTTTGGTTCAAACTAAAAAACTCAAGAAAACTTGATTGTGGTCACCATGGTGTGATTACCACCCATATAAGATAAAATATTAACAACAAAAATTGAGTCACACAAAATATAATGTAATGCACTCAATTGGTTGCAAATTCAGAAGGCAAGCACACAACTCGTTTGAAACCAACTCGACTGAAACCAAACCAACTTTGGCCAAACCAAGTCTGAAAATATCCAAGATTGAACCAAGGTTGAAACCAACTCGAGAGAAACCAAGACTCGAACAACCTAAGATTGAAATTAAACCAAAGCTTAACACAATTTATAGAAAATGTGCTCAGAAAAGGCCATTTCTTCATTATACGCCTCGCCATGAAGTTTATAATAGCGATGTTGGCTGTATTTATTGCCTCGCCAATTGATTACTAGTATAAACTTTGGTTGCATACATTATATATCCGGCCATCATCATAGCATAATATCACATTACCAATGACATAACAACCATTTCAACCAATTAAAAACAAATTAGATGAAACCAATTGTTTGCTGGAAATTCATAATTGAAACCAAAAGCCAAGCAACAACTGAAACCAAAGGCCAAAGGCCAAAGGCCAACCAAATGTATAAAACCTGGCAATTTGTCATGAACAATGAGGATGACAGCAATGACAACAAAAATGATTAGCAATCGATAAATATCCAACACAACTGAAACCAAACCATGGATGTGACCCAAGCCGCGACGTTACCTGGCTGGAAATTCAAAGGCAAGCGCACAACTCAGGCCAAACCAAAAGCACAAATATCCAACACAAAAGCCAAGGCTGACAAATATTCAGCACAAATATCCAACACAAATACGTAGCACATATATCCAACACAAATACCTAGCACATATATCCAACACAACTGAAACCAAACCATGGCTGTGGCCAAGGCCGAGACCAACATTGGCTGGAAAATCAAAGGCAAGCACACAACTGAGTCTGAAAATATCCAAGACTAAAACTAAGGCTGAAACCAAGGCCGAGACAACTATCCAAAGCTGAAACCAAACCATTTCAACCTATTAAAAATAAATATCCAACACAATTGAAACCAAGGTTGAAATTTAATACAATTTATAGAAAATATGCTCAGAAAAGGCCCTTTTCTTCATTATCTGCCTCGCCGTAAAGTTTATAATAGCAATGTTGGCTGTAATTATCATAATGACCTTACATAATAAGCATTGTCATCATGGATTGCTTCGTCAATATATTACTGCTATAAACTTTGACTGCATATCTTAAGAATAACCCATCATTCACCTTATCCCACTTGTAAACCTATCAAACAAGTATGCATTAGCAATCGAATATATTACTGCGCATTCTAACATAGTTGATTCTACCAGAATGTCATTTTGACAAATAACTGCAAAGCATAAAGATCAATGGGAAAAGCATATGAAGCGGCTGCTATATGATTTTAGCTTAAATTTGTACGTCAAATAAGAATCAATAGCAAAGCTAATGTCTCAATAGTCACTCCTAGAAGAAATTACTCCAAACAAGTGCCCCTTTTGAGTACAACGAAGACCTAAGAAGAATGACGAGCGAGTTAATTATATATCCTCAACATATTCCCAATTCTTTGGAAATGTTTGTGAGCTACTACAGTTTCTCAACCATTTCTATCATGGGCATTTGTTCGAAGTTCGTTTGTCTCACAAGTTAATGTACAATAACACAAAATAATGTTTTCAACAAAAGGGTTGAAGCCTGAAACAATGAGAGGTCAGGTCAACAATGAGAGGTCAGGCCAACAAGCGCCCAAAGGGATTTCAAATTATAAACATTTGCAGTCAAGAAAAATATCAATATGCTATATTTACCTTGTCGAATTCGATGACAAACCATCACCAAGAGTTCATACTTGCTCATGAGAGCATTCCCACAAATTTTACCAAATTAAAAAAAATAGCCCAACACTTTCTAGTAGATAAACACAAATCCCTATCCAAAATGGGCTTAGAGCATCTCCAACAACTTCTTCATTTTCCACTTTTGGAGAATTTAGTTAGGTTTTTGGTCCAACAGATTCTTCATCTCATTCCCCAAAATATGGATGGAGGAGAAAAAATAAGGAAGCTTCCCCAAATCTGCAGCATTCTCCAAATTTTTGGAGGAAAAAAAAGGATTCTTCAAAATGGGGAAGTTTTTGGAGTTGGTGTAAAAATAATTTGGAGAATATGATTTTTGCTTCCCTATTTTGAAGAAAATTTTAGAGAAGCTGTTGGAGATGCCCTATCCAATACCGAAATTTGACAGCATACAGAAGATGCATACAAAGGAAATAGAAGATTAGGTGGTGTTCTTCTAAAACAACACATTAATTCTAAACCCAAATTCCAAAAATCAAATAAAAGGATAAAAAGAGAGTAAAGCAAAGATCCAGGGCCTCATAAAAAATAACATGAATCACATCCCACAAAAAAAAAATGAAAATAGAAAGAATGAAATGAAAAACTAAGAAAGAAAGAACGAGAGCTCACTTGTGACACCACAATGGCGGCAAGGTCACTGCTTCCCCATGCCTCCCGACTCCTCAATTTCAAACGAAAATTCAACAAAAAAATAAATAAATAAATAAACCACCCGAAAGGAAAAAAAACACAGTTCCTTTTATATATCAAAGTCTTAACAAAATTTGGAAAAAAAATTCTGCAAAATATATTTTTAATAAAACTATGTGGGTGGGTTGGGAGAGGCTTTTCCTGTGCAATCCATAAACTATTTTTTGTTTCTTTTTTCTTTTCCCCTTCTCCTATCTCTCTCGTTTTCTAAGTCTGTAGACCCAAAAACAAAGAGGAAAAGCACACAGGAAAAAAATGAGAAATTGAAGAGGAAAAATTTACAGGACTATGATGGGTTTTTAGGTGGGAATCTGTACAATCCAATGGAAGGAGAAGACCAATGTGGGAATAAAAAAAAATAAAAATAAATAAAAGAACAGAGAAAGAACGATCTTGCTTGTACCTTCAATAGGGGAAAGACAACGCTTGAGTTGAAGAACAGATAGATCGGTGTTGCTCAATGAACCAAAGGAAGGAGGCGGGAGAAATTGGAGGGAGAGGGAGAACGCCGAGTGGTGATCGTAAACCCTAGGGGTGAAAGGAGAAGGAAAGAGAGAACAGACATGTTTAATCACTTTCCAGCGATTTCGATGACTTGGGGACGGAAACACACTTTCCTCCAAATCTCACGTGGCGATGATTTTCCTTCCCTCTTTCATTTCAGCTTTGAACGAACCAAACAGCAAGAAATGTTGCAAACTGACACAACCCCATGTCAGTTTTCATTTTTGAGCTTTTCCCTTCATTTAAGCCCAACCAAACAGGCCCTTAATATCAGAAGCAGATGAATAGAAGTTTTTACACCTTTATGTTACTCTGGTGCTTAGGGGCTGTTTGGTACATTTCTGGAAAAAAAAAACAAAATAACACTGTGAAATCTATTTCTTGACATTTCAATGGGTTTTCACAGTTTTGATATAATTTGTTTGATTCGCAGAGATTTGAGGAGATGAAAACAATGTGCTCCATTTGCAGCGTTTGGTACAACAGCCCCAAATAAAGAAATCATAGCATATATCCACTTTACTCCCGCCATTTTTGTGTGGCATGTTACGTCCTCCAAAAATCAGATAACCCATCTCCTCATGAGGGTGAACTTACCCCCCATAACATATATAATAACTAGGCAACGGAAAGATTTCTCCCAACGGGCAAAAAGAGGATCGCAGAGATAACGGTAAGCTGAAGTCATTTTCAAACGTAGCCACAGTAACCCAATTTCCCCACTACAAATAGTTGGTACCTGCTTGAAAAACATAGACCATTGCAAACCATCCTCAAAGAGCTGAAATAGGATATATCAAGAAGCCTCCTTCTCAGGCCAAGTTGAGCCATGGTAATGTGCCACTGTCAAATACCGACGCCATTAAAGCTGTGCAAAAATGGACCGAACAAGGGCAAATACTTTTGGAGCTGCGCAAAATACCCGAATAGGCAATGCAAATTCTTTAGATGGACAGAAATTGAGCATGATATCAAAGAAGGAAAAGCAAGCACATACGAGCACGAGATCAGCAAGAGTAAAGCAAACTTCGATGAAGCAACTTCTCGTGATGTCTCAGACATAGACAACTTGGAAGCTAAGCACTTGCAAAGAGAACTGAAGTTTGCAAAGCATCAAGTTGATTACTTGAAGAAAAGTCTAGTTGTCTTAGGAATATTTACTATTTTCGTTGTTGTCGTGAACATTGTCATCTTGTCTTTCTTAATATGAATAATGCAAAAATCTCTTTAGAATGCTTGTACTCTTGTGCATGAACAGTTTGAAAATAAACCAGCGGAAAGATTGAAAATCAATGAGATGTAAATCCCTTCATGTATATCTGTAATAAAACGTGCAAAAAAAAACAATATCTACTAACTGCAAGTTTCATAAGAATGCAAAATGATGGACATGTGAAAACCTGTATCAAACGAGAACTCGGTTTGGAAATACAGACATCCAGAACAAATGTATTTGACGAGATGATTATACAGGGTAGTGCTGAAAAATCCATAGCATGTGTGCAGCAGTCTGGGAAGGTGAGTAGTGCAATAAAATCAAGCTTTGGGCATAGAAATCAGGTGACAAACAGAAATTTGGTTTAAAATCCTGTGAAGTCTTGAATTTGGCTAATAAGAAGATGCTCAGATATATGTCTACATCATCATATATCCCACACCAGTAATCAACTACTACGCAAAGTTGGCTGCATTCCAATACAGTTTACTCAGCGCATTAGGTAAATGTTGGGACTGCCTCGCCAAAACAGTGCAAGTATTAATTACTGGATTAGAATATCAGAAATTTAGACAATCATCATTGCAGCAGGTTGTGCATGCATGTGCAAACTGTGTCAAATAACAGTGCTCAGGCTACTCATAAATTCTTGAAACAGGTTGCATGTACATTGCAGCTGTAACAATCAAAGGCTGCAATATATGTTCTCTGAATAAGATCAGCATGAACTTGCCTCGCCTTAGGATTGTTAAGTTACATGTGATTGCATCTAATATGGGCATGCACTCATCATTGCACCGTTCAAGTTAATTTAAAAAAGTGACAGCTTGTCATACCAGCAATAAAGGACGCTAATGGGGCACCTCAACCATGACATAGAATCATATGTGGTACCTGAAATTAGAAAAAGAATCAGCATAACCTGAGTCAACCAGCGCACCACTCACTAAGCAGCACTCAACAACATGTATTAGACTGCATCAACATAAATCACAAAGGTAGCAACTGCATCATAACCCAAAATATACAAGCATACCAACCATCTAGAAGTTTTTACGACATAATAACATAACTGTTAGGCCTAGTGCACAAAATAAAAGAGTTCCATCCTACAGCATAATGTCCCTGGTCATAGTAAGAGTTGAAGAACTGAATGTAGAATACCAGACTTGGTAGTGCAAGCTGTTAGGCACCGGAACCAAGCACATACCTGGATAGCTAACCTAGCTTCCCCCATCTTGCTTCTTCATGAAATTGTCCAACAAAGCCCTTTGACCAAAGTCACTCTTACCTATAAAATGCCTGGCCTTGGATTCATCTTCATATATGGTATCATAAAAAAGCTCAAGGCCTTCTACTGGGTAGGTATCTTTGTGCCTGAAGATAGCATTGGACAATTTCTCTGTCCAGTGCAGGTTAACAAGATTGAGACAAGAAGAAAAGTGTTTAACTTCATCTACCATTTGTTGCATGATCTCATGCTCAGAGTGGGCCTTCCTCCCCCTCACTTTAGCCGATGGGATTTTCTTTGGATAGTCCTGGTAGGGGGCTTTGACGGTATTGTTTTGCGATTGATTGTCTTCATCTAACATGTTGACCGTGGGCTGGGATTTCTGGGTCATAGGAATGTTGACATCCTCATTGGCATCATCTGCAAGATTAATAGGCTCCTGACCACCAAATTTCTCCATTGAAGCCTTAGCAAAGTCACCTCGTGCTTGATCATCTCCACAAATGACGGACAGGTTCTCGTAATGTTTCAGAGGCTTATTGATGTAATCTTTAAGCCTACTTTTGTTTTTAGCCTGCATGCAATAATAACATCATTAGTACAATGCATAGGACACTACATCATTCACACCAACAGAAATTTGAATGGATTAAAAGTTAATTTACCTCATTCCACGTGTCAAAGCTCTCAGGATCCAGCATAATAGTTTGTGTATCTTCATCCCAACCTGCGCCACTGATTTTACGAGCAGCCTGCATATCTTGAAACCAAGAACGAAGTGTTTTCATATGATTAACAACACTTTTGGTGGCAAATGAAGTACCAAATTTCTTGTTCACTTCAGCCGCTGCCATAGCAAACGCATGTTGTTTAAAATTCTTGTCTGGTTTAAGGCCAGACTTAGCCAAATTTGCAAGAAAGGGTATGAGCACTTCATCATGTGCAGGCGTCCACCATCTAGTTGGGCCAGTATTTGCGGCTTCAATTTCCACCTGTTTTTTCCGTTTCTTATGGGTAAGAGCTTTGCCTTTTCTTGGTGTGCAAGGCGAAGTTGCTACCACTTCATCGTTTGCCAACCTTTTTTTTGTTACCTGAATCAGAAGTAGCCCCTGTAATACTCGTTGGAGAATGAAATTGTCCAGAAGAATTGGACCCTTGCACAGTTTGTGCCAAAGGTGGTGGAGAGCTGAGCATGTGCATGTAAGATGAAATGGGGTTTATCATGGGAAAAAAGTTACCATCGTAATGCAGTACATTTGGAAATACTGAGGATGATTGCACAAAGGGTGAGGCTGACTGAAAGAGGGGATTGTAACTTTGATTGAATGCACAGCTGGACGAAAACACAGGTGGAGGTGGTGGGGCCATTGAAGTAGGGGAGTGAGTATTAAGCTCTTTGCCCACATCATGCCCTACGGAGGATGATTTGTCTCCCATTCCCTATAGTTCAACAATTGTAATTTGCTGCCCAAAACATGATAAGTAGCAAATATATGAATACCATGCAAGTGTAAGTAAAACAGCAACAAGTGAATATATGATAAATAGGGAAATTGACCTAGTACCATCATAGTCATCATAAAGTACACCATGTCTCGATGAAAAAATCCATAACATTGGCCTCTTCATTAATTTCCTCTGCAAGAGCTTCCTCTTCAAAGTCGAAGCTCTCATTGAGCAACTCATCATCTGGATCCACTGTTGCAATGTAGTTATGGAGAACTGTGCATGCCAAAACGATGTCAACTTGTACGGGGAAGGGGTAGTGGGGTTTTGCTGTGAGTATCTTGAAACGACTCTTCAATATACCGAAGGTAGCTTCAATCTTAGACCTCAAAGATGAATGTCTAAGGTTGAATAACTCCCTCCTATTTTGAGGTGTTCGACCCGTAAATTCCTTCAGATGATAACGAACACCGCGATATGGGGAAATAAAACCCGGTTGGGTTTTGTACCCCGCGTCGCACAAGTAATATTTATCTACATATTACACAGTAATATCATTAGAATTGTAAAAATGCAATTATTAGTGAGTAATTACTTTCGTTATCGAGCTTGTTACCAGTGTACACCCGTAAGCCATATGGCTTCGGCCTAGATAGCGCTTCTTGAAGTATTCTATAGTCGTTAGCCGACCCCTCCCAACCAGCTAAAACATAGGTGAACAGTTTGTTTGGTGTGCAAGCCGCAAGAATATTTTGTGTGACACCTTTGCGCCCTCTGAAACGCGCGACGAGTGAAGCAGGTAGCATGGCATCCACATGTGTGCCATCTATCATACCTATGCAATCCTATATAGTGCAACGTACTTTGTCAATGTAATATATGACTTGCTTAGATAAGTAATATTATGCTAATTTGGTAGTGGATGATACCTTGAAAAATGGGTAAAATGATGGATTGCTTAGGATCTCTTGAGGCACTTCATTCGGTGCTTGTTTCATGTACTTGCCTTGTATGCATGAAATAGCTTGCAATACTCTGCTGAAGTATCTACTAACGGTCTCCCCTGATCTTATGAATTGTGTTCTCATCGTACGATTTTTGGATTTATGGCCCAATATATTCAATGTTATGGCCAGTTGCTCCTCTACTGTAATGTGCCTAGAGTCCTTTAACAGATGTTTCTTCCTCATTAACTTTGCAAGTTTCATAAAGGCACCTGAGCGCATTCTAACGAAGTTTTGACAGCTATCACTATAACCGTGATAGATACGACTCATCAATGCTGCCCTAGTCTTTTCCTGCTGTAGTCGTTCATCACTTGGTCCAGACCTTATTGATCTACGACGACGCTCCAGTCT